GTGAAAAGATCCGTCAAAACAAGCACTTGTTTCGCTTTGCTACTCGTCGCCATTGTCACTGGTCCCAAAATATCTACTGCCACCGCACTGAATCTGATCCCGGGATCGAAGGGAGCTAAGTCCTGAGCCCGCTTCGTCCTCTTCATTTCTGACATCTGGACTGCTCGGCTTAAGCACCCCTGAACTTTTGTTTCAATGTCCGTCCTCATCGTCGGCCACCAATATCTTCGTCGTAATCTTGCCAGCATCTTCTCGGCTGCAAGCTGTCCTCCACCAGTCTCTATCAAATCGAACTGGCTAAAAATTTCCTTCCGCCCCGCCAGCGGAATTATCGTTAGAAGGTTTGGCCTGGAGCCATCTCGTTGAAACCACTTCTTGTAGAGTATTCCATCTTTTATGCTCAACTCATCCCATCTTGACCAGTAGGACAGTGTTTCAGGTCCATACCGTACGTCCTGCTCCTTCGGGATGATGTTTGTTCCTAGTGACGGCATATCAATAATCTCATCGCATAGTCCCGCCCAGTAGAATACTTGGGCAATCGCTTCATCTTCTTTCTGCATCTTCGCAACTCCGCCTGGCGTTCGTTTCTATCGAATCGACTCGCTATCGTCGTCTTCATTCGTCGCTGTCTCGTTGACACTTGCAACTATTTCCAATCCACCCGTAGGTCTGCACTTTCGCAGTGCCTCTTCTAACGAGATCGCTTTGTGACAACCTGCAATTTCGTCATCGTCCATGTTTTCGCAAATCGCTCCCGCTGAGTGATCGTCAAAACTAGCTGGCCATCCTCCTTCATCGGATAGGTCTTCATCAGATTGCCGGACAGCAGCCGCTATCTTCGCTATCAGCTGCTTCCTCTTCTCCTTACTCGAATCGTCTTCACTCATTCCTCCTGGATCATGGGGGATCGGGAGAATCCGCTTTGGGGACGCACTGGGTGGCAGATTACGTATGGCAACTTTGAAACCCTCTTTTGTTCCCGTCCACAGGAAATCTTTATTGTGGCTGAACGTCAATGAGCACCGATTTTCTTCCAGCGATCGAATTCCGAAAACCATCTCTGCTTTCAGTTTTGGAACAACTAGCATATCAAGATCTTTGTCAACGGCCCCCAATTACAGACGGGCGGTGATACATCCATCCAACTTCACTTCCTGTCCATCTGCTGTCTCTAGTCTGCCCCGATATGGCTTAATCTCAGACGAGTCTAAGAGATCTTGAGCTACATCTCTACGAATGAGGTCAGTCGTGCTCCCCCCCCCCCCGTATCTAGCAAGGCCTCGACTTGGGTTCTCCCTATGCAAGCATCTACGACTACTCCACGAGGCCCGTAGATATCGTGACTAATTCCCACTCGCTCGACACGTGCCTGAGGTTGCTCTTTCGTTTCGCGCCCGGTAGAGACCTCTGAGCCCCGAGGTATTCGTTCCAAAATCGACAGAACCTGTTCCTGTTCCCACAGTGTATTACTGTCTTTAATTGCATCTCGTTTCGGCCACTCGTTGTGGCTCCGTCTATACGAATCGTATGTCGGCTGGTCTCGCTTCGATGTTTGTTGTCTCTGTAGGTCGGCCGGGAAAAGGCTTATTTTGAACTCGCTCATTGCCCCCCCGGCCCTCAGTAGTGTAAATGAACCGAAGCCTTTCTCGGACACTTCTTCGCGAAGTGAACCATCTGACCGCATGCATAGCAGTTGCCACGCGGTACCTGGCTCTTCAACCCGTAGCGTCCGACTCCACTGTTCTGGTAACTCCGACGGTCCTTGCCGGGGTAAGGGTCAAAGAGCTGCCGGGGTCGTTGGGTTTGATCAGGGCGGGGTAGATTCTCCGGTTGGGGGGCAGGAATAAAAGAATTGACAAACCTACCCATCATAGAAGTCATATTCTGCATCTGTGTCAGAAGATCACTCTGGACACTCACAATTGGCCGATTCGGGGATAAGTGACCACCTGCTGTCGTCCCGAATTGGTCCCCACATGTGGCAGCCGAATGCTCTGTCTACCAGCTCCGCGACTCGCCTTTGCCCCCGGCTCTGGTACATTCTCGGCCACTCTCGCGAAATGCAGCCTCATTCTGTTCCTGGCCCGTGACGTCTTGTTGACTAGCTCCAGGGCTTGGGCCCGAGCAACGGCCTGAGCGAGGCTCCCCAAATCTTCCCGCAAGAGCTGGTCTTGGAGCTCCACATCAAACAGCCCGTCGATGAACTGCTCACGGTTCATGTCGTCTTTAGCTTGGGCTCTGATTTTCACATTGGCTACATCCCCAAGGGACCGGACTCGTCTGGAGAACTCGCTAAGACCCTCCTTTTCGCCTTGCATCAGACTTTTGAACTCCGCTCGGGCGACTGCGTGCGTCTGAAACGGCATCATCCTGTGATCGAGCTCGGCGAGCATCCTAGCCAACGTTGGCTCGTCATAGCCCTCGATCTCTTCTCGAAAGTGGGCTGGCATGCTTGTAAACTCATCCTACGCCCAGCGCGTCAAACAGGTTGGCAGGACCATCCTGGCCTGCTCGTCCTCCCAGCGGTTGGCATCGGCGACCCAAGCGAAGTGCTTTCTCCTGTCTGCCCAGTTCTGATAGGTACTGGAAGGAAAACGATCCGGCCGTATTGTCCCGAATCCAATTACGTCTTGTGGTCTGTCCAGCGCGTTCGCTGCTGCAACTGCCGCTTCAGCAATCAGCCGCCTGTCCTGTTCTTCCATATCGTCAATTAGCAACACACACTGTGCAGCTGCAATCCAGAATTTGCCCACCCAGGAGCGCCAATGTAGATTTAGGGGATTTCTTCTCTAGGTTCGTTCTCTCTTTCCTAACGACACCGCAAAGTCGTCCCTTGAGCAGTGAATTCAGTGGGGCGACCGAGATTCACTACTATCTACAATCCCGAAAGGGTTATTTTGGTGGCAACTATTCTATATTGTATTATGTTGCTTGCCCCTCTGTGTATTGGTCCTCGGCTGTCTTGTCTCGTCTACTCAATACAATCGCAAGAATTTCCAATGATTAATTAATATAGATGATTATTTATCAAATTACAGAAGGCTCTGAATGGCCAGGATATAATCTAATAATCAAGTCAAAAGGCGATTTATCGGCCAAATTGCAATTAACTTCCAACTAACTCCACTAACACTAACTATTCTCTCTCTCTCTCTAGAGAATCTCTGATGAGAACTAACTAAGTACTGGTCTCTTACTCCGAGAACCAATTACCTGACTAACTAGCAATAATTGTTCTCTCTAACCGAGAACCAACTGTACTCTCTCTCAGTATCAATTGCTCTCTTCTCTGACTGAGAACCAACTACTCTCAAAAGTAGCTGACACTGTTCTGACTCTTACAGGCTCTCCGGTACCCTCCAATTCCTTACCTTTCTCTACACTTAGTATGAGTTGAGCCACGCCATTCCCTATCAGTCCTGACATCCGCCTAAATCACCCGACCGCACATGTTTTAAGGCTATATCCCTCCCCTGTCACTTCTGCCACGTGCCAACTTATGTTTCTTTTATCAATATTTTCACGCTTATTAGATACCCGGTATGCGGTAGCTGTCACAATTTGACCTAGCAAACAAATGTCATACGATTCTAATCAATCAATTCCTGAACTCTGTGAACTTCAGCTCTCGAGTTCAACTCAACCTCCAAACCATGCTATGTTTACCCAGTCTTTATCCCCAAGGTCTTTATTCTAACTATCCCGTTAACGTTCCGACCTCCCAAGGGTAGGGAGAGACCCTTTTCATGGGGAGCTAATTCATTCCAAGCATCTAAAATTTTGACCTGTACTCTTTTCCAATCCCGACCTTCTAGCTATCAAGGGAACGTAGTTCGTCTATTAGGGGTCAAATCAAAGGAGAAAGTCACCTCTGGGAAGCCAAGTAAAACCCCGTTCATTCATACTGTTTAGAAAACATAACTCTCATGCCGCTGTCTCATTAGTATCAATTTCCTCTGGGACTACTTTTCTTTAGTCTGGTTGAATTGCTATTTATAGATCACTCGCCAAGCTAAACTGAACCCAATGTTTACCAAGTCCACTTTAAATTAAATCCTCTAATCCAAGGTTGCAATGTAAAAGCTATATCTCTATCGGCTTCTGCTGTAATTCCCAATATATAAGTTTTCCTAACAATTTTTTAGCAAGATGACCCTGTCTCATTTCCAGGGTTTGAGCTGGGAAATACGCAACTTTCCGGTGTTAATATTGGGGCTTTTCTTGCAATTTTGGGGTCACGATGCCCAAAGGTCAACTTCAGGTCACCCAGGGGTCAAATTTCCATATTTGGGCTCAGACTTGCCTAGGGGTCCTAACTACCAAGTTTCATTCATATCCCATTAATACTTCACAAGTTATACCATTTCTAAGGTCCATTATCACTTTTTCCGGGAAAAGGCTATTAACACCGGAAGGAGTCACCGGAGGGTTTTCACTCGCTAGGGGTCTTCTTTCGGGGTCTGTATCTTATGTCCATTGCCGCAATAAAATACTTATGCCACCGTTCATCATTTCGCGTAAATTGCCTATTTCCGTCTAAGGGGGGTGTTTTTCCAAGTGCTAATAGCTTCCGGTCCAATGGCCGATTTGGTTCAAATCATAATACTAGATGTAACTAGATAGTTTCATTTTCAACAAATAGCTATTGGTCGAATTAAATGCCACGACCATCATGAGGACGTGGATGCCTTTATTTTATGTGTATTTACTTTTGCAGATTAATTCCGGGCAGCATTTGCCCTGTGCATATAAGTGTTATTCATGGGGTGGGTTTAGGAAATTAGACAAGAAATAAGACGATCAGAATTAACGGAATTCACACAATAACTTGCGTGAAAATTTGTTTACAGACTTAAATTAATTTTTGGCTGAGTGAATACTGGTAGTCCGTAAATTCCTTTTCTTTACGGTCGTCTTATTTGCTTGTCGTCTAACTTCCTAGGCCCCGTTATTCATAGCTAGCTAGAGGAAAAATCTCAGCATATCAAAACCAGTCATGCAAACAAAAAATTTATTTATCCGATCTAATCTTATTTTTATTTACATTAGCTTGTTGAGAGATCTTATTTACAAACATTAATCAACTACAGATGATTAAAAAACAATTACAAAGATGAGCATCATTTTTTGTTTCTTCGAAAAACTTTTCACATTTTAATTAATAGGAATGATATCGGATGAGCACAGTTCACAGGCTATGGCATCTTTGGAGTTCAAAAGGTCGCAGTTAGGACAAGGATTGTAGAGATTCAGATCCACCTGCAGTTCAGCGTGACACTTTTTGCAAGTCTTGCAGTTCACTACAAACTCGCTCACATCACCGCAGTTTGTACACTTAATCATGAATGTATGACTCACACTTTGGGGGTTCTTCGGCACATTCAAATTCGCATTCGGACTATTCGCAGTTGCGTCTTCCGAAAGGTCTTCGTCCAAAGCGACAATAGAATGGGTTTTATTGGGCTTTTTGGAGCATTTTTTACCCGCAGCATGTACCGCGCAAATATGGCAGTACTTCTTTTGGCAAAAAGAACAAATAAAAAGCGCCGGCTCGCCGCTCATGCAAGACCCGCTGGCGGCGTTGGCACATTTTGGCAAGGAATTTAGCAGAGACGAATGCGATGAATTGTGTCGAGGTTCATTTTGCATCTGCATTGCCCTGCTCGAACTAGTTTGCAGCAAAGATTCGACTGATCCACCTCGCAGATCATTTAACTGATGTTGACTTTGTTTCTCATTTGACCTGGGAGTTTTAACGGCAGCCGTTTTCTGTTTCTTGCTTAATTTCTGACTTTTCTGAGTCGTCGTAGTTTTAGGTCTAGCTCCACCGGCTGAATTAGATGCCGAAGTTGCACTTGCAGCTGTAGATGTAGACACTCCTTGATCCACACAGCGATTGGGCGTTAAGAAAAATGGAGCACATGAGTTTGCTCCTGAGACCAAGTTCGAGGAGCCTTGACTTTCAGCATTTCTGGTCTCTCGTTGTCTTTCCGAAGGAGTGCTCGACTTGTGATGATGCTTCTTCCTTCCCGCTCCATTCTTTTTACTTTTCATCAAGTTCATCCGGTTTAACAATTTCGTCATCGTTCCAACATCGCCGTTTTGGTTTTGGTCTCTAGACGAAGACACACCATAATGTGCGTATGTAGGTTCAACTGGCACATCATTGCGGAATCTGTGATGCGAATGGTGCATTAATGTAGGATTCATTAACTGGAGTGCAGCCTGACTCTCAAGTGATGAGTTCAAATCAAGATGACTTGGTATCCCATTGAAGAACTGACGTTGGCGACAATGTGACGAGGATCCTCTTGGGTCATGTCGTGCTCTATGGTTAGTCAAAAACGGGTTTTCGTCGTCTTCCTCGTCGGCTGAGTTACATTCTGAGCAACTGCACGACATTGTGTCTCCACAATCACAGCTATAGTACGGTCCGTCGTAAATGTCATCGGGATTCGGCAGCAAGGTACTCGGTTCTTCGGAAGAGTCCGAGTTATAATGCAGATTCACGTCGTCGTTTGGCGAAGGATTCACCGTATGGTAGGCTGATCCATATACATGGTAAAGAGGACTTTCGTCTCCTCGATTTCCTTCTGAGTAGCCTGGACTTCCAAGTTCTGACATCGGATGCTGCTGCAATGTATCGGGAAGTACTTGGCCGATGCTGGCTTGTGATGCCGGTGGGTTAGCTTCAACTTCTCCGTCCGAAACTTGTTCGTATATTCGACCATCATCCGCATCTTCGTCGCCTGACTGGACAGAGGGTCTGGCAATATCGAATGAGGCCGAGTCAGGTGATGCTTGTTGCGTTGAGGATGAACCAGAAGAGGAGTTGGTTCCATTCGCATTTTGTGAATGCGAATTACTTTGGTTCATTGATTCCTCCAGTGTGGCACGAGCACTTGAAAAACAAACTCAAATTTTAAATTATTTCCAATGGTTGAATCAAGGATGACATTACTGTACTCTGACAAAAACATATTGCCATGATTTGAGCAATAGACAGTAGCTCCTATACTTCCTACAAATAGGTGAAGCGGAGCTTCGCATCACTTGCGATACAACACAAACATTGCAAGCTATATGATAGAGACGGGATCCACTTATTCAAAAATATATAAACAATTCGAATGATTTTCAATTTGAGGGAAATGTCTAGAAACAAAATCACCACCGTTAAATGAGCAATCAAAATCATGTACAGAGCAGAGCGGCAACTAAAAAGACAACTGTTGAGCCGAAAACAAAATCGTTGTCATTAAAAAATTTGAACTATTAAAATTCCAGCATGAAAATCAATTTTTGCCCCTCAAACGACGCAAAATAAGGCGACTAAGCCACTATAATATAAACCCAAGCCGATATAACATAAAAATGCCTTACAAAACCCAGAATGGTAAATTTACATATTACGGACGAATTTCAATTATAGTTTATAATGCTTAAATCAGAGGAACATTTCATGCTTTGGAAAGTGAGCAGACAAAAGATAGTCCTACAATTCAAGTACTCTCAGAAAAATTATTTCTACGTATCGATAAAACAAGATCCTGCCGGGACTCAATCTTCAGACCTTAGGATCTCGAAACAATTGAAGGACTAACTTTGTGACTGCGCTTTGAATTTCTTGCATTGCCGACTGAATCGTGGTCAAATTGCTGTTCAACTGAACATTATCTCTGCGTCCATCTTGAGATCCCTGGCGTTGCAATGACGGCTGAATGGCATTCATGTAACTCTGGACAAGATTCTGGGTGATTTGTGACCTCTTTATGGCCGCTTGAGCAGCAGCCTCTCTCGCACTTTGTTGACTCGCAGCAGAACTCTCGCCGTTCCTCTCAATTCCTGAAACTCAAATCTGCATTAGATACGTTCCTGCATAATCATGTTTTCACCCGATGCCACGTAAACTCTCAGACTCACTGACATGCGATGAATTTAAATGATTTTGATTGATGTTTGATTTTCGATAAACAAATTGTTTCTAAGTTCAAACTAATCATACCTTCATCGTGGCTTTGCTCAAACTGCTGGCTTTGAACCGCTCGCAACGCTTCCTCCAGCGAAGATCTGATCTGTTCCATATCTGTCGATGAAAAACTCGCGTTCAACTCTCTTTGCTGACTTCTGACCTGATGCGATGCTGATCTGTGTCTTGCTGCAGCTCTGTTCGTCCTGGCATTCATTGAAGGAAACTCAGAACTCATTTGAGGAACGGGACCACCAACTCCTGGAAAGATTCTATCGTTTGAATTTCCCTGAGTTTGAGCCACAAATCTACCTCTCTGTCTTTGGTTTGAGGCCCTTCGAGCTGGCCTGGAACCACTTGAACCCATTTCCAGGTCAAGACTCGGTGGGTTTGGCATCCACTCCGATCGCTCCAAACCATTTCCCAACCAATTCCGATCGCCAAAGCCATTGTCCGGATGTCTGGAGCTTGAAGCCCCAGATCCGTCAATGATGCCCTGTTGGTCCAAAGGAGCACTAGCTTCTTCCACGGTTCCATGGATCATTATAACGTCGAAGGCGTCGCGAGGTAGGTGGCAGAGGATGTTGTCAATGCAGACAGGTGCCAACTCGCAGTCGGATGATATGTCGGATAAAGCGGACATCTCTTGAATGAGGACGTCTTTCTCTTGCACGACTGTCACGTCGTCTTCGGTCAAAGAGCGAGTGCAAATTCTTTGGGTGACCTCACAGCTACAAGATAAGACAGTATTATTCCTTGTCCTTCATATTAATGTTTTTTGCCTTCAAAAATACTTTTCAAATTCTAGTTTCAGCGGTGTCTTTGCTGCTTGTAAAAAATCTGCATTAGCGCACCACAGCAGCGCAGAGAAGTGGCACGAATGGCGGCTTCCCGAAATTATATTCAGATATAAAATACGAGCAGCCAGTTGGTGCGCCAATAGCAACCAACTGTTCCTACAACAGCAATGAAAATTTTCATACAAATGAAAATGAAGCACTAATTTATAGCGTTGAGGTACCGATCAATGAGGTCTGATATGGTTCTCTCCTGCGACTCCAAAGCAGCTATCTTCTGAGAAGTCTTGCACTTGACCATGTCCTTCAGCTGACCTTCTCTCTTGTGCACCCTCTTCCTCATCGTATCAAAGTGATGAGTCACCTGAATCATCATTAGCAACGTTTAAGCCTTCTTTGTTAAACAAAAAATTAGAGAGGATCTACAAAAGTCTCACTCGTCATCAAAACACACACACACGCACACACATGCACACAAAATATTATTCTCTCGTCGAACGACAAAAATGAGACCACAGAGTAAATAAAATAGTCCGAAACCAATTAGGCCAAAAAAAGGAAAATTGAAAATTTAACAAATCGAGTTGGTAAAATCACAACCCACATACAAAGGAACTTTTGCAACGAGAATGACATTATCTGACCTCTCTTATAGTCTTTTCCTCTTTGTGCCTCACAGCTGATATGGTCTCGATTATGATCTGTCTGGCCAGCAGGAGGTTGTCCTTACTCCTGTCCAGATTCTCCGAACGAGAGATCACTTCTCGTCTGCCTGCTTCTGCCGTCTGAGACACCAACTCACACGAGTGGTTTGCATGTGATCCATAAACTTGACAGTATATGCAGATCAGCTGACAGCATGTCTTGCAATACACTTTCATAGGCTCTCCTGAAACCAAACGGAAGCTAGAGGCTCAGTAATTTAGATTTCGTAGCTCACAAACACTGAATACAAATTAAACAGAAAATTTTAAAAATAACAATGAACAATAATCTGAAGTCATAGAAAAAACATAACTTAAATTTAAAAAAAATACTTTAACGAGCTCGAATCAAGCAAAGAGATTTAATTTATTTATCTTTGAACACTCGAAAAAGACAAAAAAGTTTATAAGAAGAATCTTATTTTGTGATGGCAACAAACCAACTAACCTTCGTGTTCCTGGCATCGCTGCTCATAGGAGGATATGTCATAATTAGAGGAGACCGCGAAGCCCACTGCCTCATTTCCATCTCCAGTACTACTCCCTCCCCTCTGACCACCTGAAGCTCCCGCACCTCTACTGCTCCCTTGTCCATTGGGGGGCTTAGGAGGGGGTCTCTTTGGCATCGTCGGGTTCTTTCTGCCCTGCCTCTGAGAGTCTTCCTCCTGGGCACTTATGATTTCCAGGACCCCGAAGTTTTTAGGCAGCTGGTTGACGTCGTCCATGAATCCGTTGATCAGAGTTTCGTGTTTGCAAGTAGGGCACCTGACTGTTCCTATGCAATACTGACCCACAAGCCTATCAAGACACGAGGTGCAGTAAGTGTGACCACATTGCAAGTTTCTAGGCACGTGTTCGCCTTCCCTGCTGAAGTTTTGATAACAGATCTGACAGCTGAGACCTCTAATTTCTTCCTGCGAAGTGTCGTGGTCTGAGATCTCATTAGAGCCGTTGTTGATATTTACACTGCCTGCGCTATTCGAGTAGGGATTGGTCCCGCTTGCGCCTTGCTGCATGCTCGATTGAATCCTACCACTAGCACTGCCGCTATTCACAGCACCGCTGTTACCTCCGCCGCCACTTAACCCAGACAGGCTATTAGCCGATAAAGAGTGATCCATGTCTGGCAAGCCGGGCTATAAAGGCAATCTTGATAGTAGTCTAAACAAGTCCTGTCGCTGACGCAGAATTCAAGACACCAATTTTACCGCACTATTTACAACTTAATGGCAATAGGTACAATGTTTGCTTACTTGGCAGATAACAAACGATAACAGACCATTTTGCGAGGTACACTTTTAGCAGAGCTCAGTTAAAACTGCTTCTAGTTGGCGTGTGATTGAGAATACAGAAGGTAATACAAACAGACGCACTGCCAAAACAAAGTAACAACAACGGCCTGTTATGCTCACATGAGCTCATAACATTTTCACATCTAAAAGATACGTCACAAAACTTCATACCTGGTCAAACGAAGACAATCTAGTAACCTCAGAAAATAAACAAACATGTTATTATTCATCTGCTGAATTACACTAATCAAGGCAAAATGAATCAAGAGCAGCAAAGTTTGGGTGATTTAAGTAAACCACTCTTTTTTTAAGCAAAACGTCAACATAAAAGTACTAATTGACGTTATTCAATCGGCGCTAATTTATCTAAATTTAAGGTGACAGAGGGAGTTTTTTAAATAAACGAAAACAATTGCCAAAGTTATTCAATCGGCGCTAAATAACTTCAAGATGGGAGTGGCAGTTTTTTAAATAAACGAAAACAATTGCCAAAGTTTTTGATAATCAGCCCAGCTGATAAACGAACGTAACTGAAAATCAAGAAATTTTAACAAAAGTAACCGCTCAACACTTTTTGAATTTTCCAATTATTTTTTTAACTGGGAAACTTTCATGATGCGCGCTTTTTTTTCGTAAATTAGCACAATTTGAGAAAACCGGATCAATTGGTGAACTTCTTTATTCCACTGCGAAATCTAACTACTAAAATCCACGTTCGAACTTAACATCACTCACGTTTCTTTGCGCTGTTTTAATTTTTATAAATGAAGAGCGTAGTATGCCCTTCTTTAACTAAATGAATTTGAATTGAACTTCAATCCAAAAAAGAAACCCAGAGCCCATCAGCAAAAAAACTAATTTGAAATTTAAACACGGAGGCGAAGCGGAGCTTCGCAACACTTGCGATGCAAAAAAAAAGTCAAAAAAATTTCTGAAAAATTATGTTGGAAAAAATTACTTGAAAAAAAATAACTTGGGTCGAAACCTGTTGAGCCGAAAACAAAACTGCTGTCATAAAAAAGTTCATAAAATTTAAAAGTTTTCACGACCCATCCGAATTGAAACACATAATCCCAAACGGATATATTTTGCTCTCAAAATTACGCTAAATAAAATGACTAAGTCGATACAACATAAACTGAATACTAGAGGCCAGCTAAAGCTGGAAATACCTGTTTGATACTTTTGTTTGATATTTTTTGTACTGATGCGGAAGGACAAGGGCAATTTAACTTTTCCGAGGGTCATAAATTCTTGTGTAAAAAATTTAGGGTAACCTCTTATACAGCGAAGCTTCCCACAACCGGTTCTACTCATTGGAATCAAAACCTCAGATTTGCGAGGGTAGTTTTCGAAAAAAAGTTTCAAATGGTAAAAACATCTAAATTTTTACTTTTCTGAGGGTCATAACTTTTTGTGTAAAAATATGGGCGTGATCGCTTCTGCAGGGGAGCTCTCCACAACACGTCCTTTCGAGAAAAACTAAGAAACATCAAAAAACGGTCACAAAATTGATAAATTCACTTTTCGGAGGGTCAGAACTTTTTGTATAAGAAAATATAGGCGTTATCATTTAAGCAGCGGAGCTTCTCACAACTCGTTCTATTCATTGAAACCAAAATCTCAGACTTGAGAAGGTAGTTTTCGAGAAAATGTTTTAAGAAATCCAAAAACATGGGTCAAAATTACCCCACACGCTTTTTCGAAGGCTGTAGAAAGTGCGGTAAGGTAAAAAATAGATTAGGGAAGTATGCAGACACACAGGAGAGTATGCGGACTTCCCACTGGTACCATTTTTTTGAAAATCGGTAGAGTAGTTTTTGAGAAAAACCAAATTTTTGAAGTGAAAAAATTTTCCTAAGCGTCTCGAAAAATACTGAATAAAACAAAAAATGAAAAAACTCAAAATCAGACAAGGCAAATTTACACATTTGTGAAATTCCAGTCATAGTAAAAATTGTTTAAATTGGAACAAAACCCATGCCTTAGAAAATAAATCAATAAAAACTACCAGATAAAAAAATGGCGTTTAAAAAAACGGAAAATGAACCGACAAAAACTAGGACGAAAACCACGAACAGCAAAAAAAATTGAATTTTTTGAAAAAAACAGTACCTGAAAAGAGTTTGAACTAATTTCTGGGGAGAGATACAACTACGGTATCTTTCTCTAGAAGTGAAGATCCCCTAGAAGTGCAGATGTTGTGGACATAATTGTTCTAAGGGGAAAAAAATCTGAAAGGGTAAAAATCTAAAAAAAAAACTAAAAAAAAATCAACTCGACCTAAACAAGTATCTTATTCATTATCACCTAATCATTATCATTAAAACGCTGATGAAAAATTCGCTGTTAGAGAATCATATTTGATTTTTTTCACTGATTTTTAATAGGATTTTTCCACATTTCGGATTAATTATCATTTCAAGCTGTGATGCTTTTACAAAGGACAAAAACTGAGTCATAGCTATGAATAATGGAAATTGCGAATCTTCTTTCTTTTCGGGAAACTTCAACGTAAGACATTAGGTATAACTTAATTATGGAGAGATAACGGCATACGCATTTGAACATAACACGGAAATTTTTTCTGTCAGTTACTGATCTTAACTTCCAAAACAATTGTGGCACATAGGCGAAGCGGAGCTTCGCACCACTTGCGATACAACCGGGGAAAAAACTCGAGCTACCCTACCCCTCAAATCACCCACACACACAATTTCTTAAGTCATCAAACGACACAAAATAAGTCGATAAAATATAAGCCGAAATCATTTAGGCAGAATAAAGTTGTTAAGCGAAAAAGAAACAAAAAAAGAAATTGCACGAAGTCAACTAAAATTACAAACAGCAGAAATAAATCGAAACACCAAACGCAACTAAAATTCTACGATGTGACAATTAATCCGACAAAACTTCAGACAGAATAGGCCGTAAATTTCAACGAAAAAATTTCCCGTTTGAAAAAGAAACAGGTCATGTCAGATTCGAACCCAGAACCTTTGCCGTTCCAGGCGTGTTTGTTACCTCCAGACCAAGTGTGTCGAAGGCGCAAAGAAACTTGAATTCATTATGACGAAAACCCAAATTTACCATTTCTAATTTTGACCATTCTGTGAAAAATGTTATTTAAGGGAACAAGTCTAAAACCACCTAAAAAAAAGAATCGAATTTTTTTTTGTCGATCACACTTGTTTCCAAAGAAAACTGAGGCCAGAACATAAGGCACTACTTGCACAACAACCGACTACATTGGTTTTGTTAAGCAGGGAACATTTGGGATCTTTACAGTTTGAACAACGAAAGACCTAGAACTATATGATGAACCCTCTTTTGTGACGATTGGCCCAGTGCTAATAACGACTTTTTCTTTTCAAATTGAAAGAAAATTCCACTAAATTTCATCTTCAAATCAAGCAAATTGAATGCTTCGGATTATTTTCATAACTGTTAAATAAATAATGAAGTTTTAAAGCACTGAAAGTGGAGTCAATTACCTTTTTCATCAGGCAAAATAAAATTAGAATACAGCACACTTTGATTTATCATTGAGCAGATTTTCAGTGAAAAAAACCGCCAGAAGTCAATTTGACGTCTCCCCCATTTCCTGCTTAGCCAGGTGTTTTGTGAGATTGATCTGTTTTATCCATCAATAATAATTGCACAAAAAAGCGAACAAGATTTTGAACATGAAATCGATGCTAGGTTTCATAGAGCTATACAAGAAAATTGAAACAATAACATCGGCATAAATTCAAAGTAGGTTGCAAATCCTTTCAGCAAAAAAAGCCAAAGCTAGCTCATACCAGGGCTGTAAGGTTTATTTACCTTTCGAAAAAAATTCATTCGTTTTTCTTTTTCTTCATCGGTCAAATTCACCAGACATCCATTGACGCATAACTGAGGCTTCATGTTAGCATAAAACTCATAGTAGCTATTTGTATCTTCATTTTTGTCTAAACTTACTTCTTTCATCGTTGAACTAGAACGCTTCCCATAGGATGTACTCATTGCTGATTTACCCGCATCTATTTGGTTAAACCTCCTTTGATTAGACAACTCAAGTTGCTTGAACTCAAGCTCTGACGAAAGTTTCCGTATTTCACGTTCATATTGCTCAATGGCAGCATGAAGTTTCAATTCAGTTTCCTGACGCTGCTTTTTCAATATATCCACATCAGATGAAGATTTCTTCCGCAATAATCCAATTTCTCCTTTAAGATTGCAATTTTCTTCTTCTAAGGCTTGCAATCTATTTTTGAGCAAAATTTCATCTACTTTACTGTCTGAGGAGCTATCATCCCCTGCGGTTGCTTTTCCAAAACATTGCTGGGTCATTATTTCATCGAGATCATCGTCAAAATCGTCCATTTCAGAGACTGAAAACTATCCTTGTCAATTGATCAGACGAGCCACATGTCAATTCGGAGTGCGGTCTGTATTTAGACAACCGCAAATTCATGCTCGTCAGTAAGCAGAAAAATACCATATTAACCAATCAGAATCGACATGAGAAAGCAAATTTACGAAATAAATAATTATTAATTATTCATTTCTTTCTTGTCTCGATTCTGATTGGTTAATATAGTATGTGTCTGCTTACAGACTAGTCTGAATACGCGGTTGTCTAAATACTGCTACGTAAATTGCGAACTTAATCTGGCACCCAAGGTTGATCATGCATCAAAAGTTCTTGGAAAACATACAAAGAAGAGCGACGCGTCTAGTTATTGGTATAAAAAATCTATCCTATTACGAGCGCCTTAAGGAACTGAATCTATCATCGCTGGAATACAGAAGGAAAAGAGGGACAATGATAGAAATGTATAAAATCTGCTATGGTTTTTATGATAGGAATGCCACTGCGGGACTATTCGAGCGGAATGATAGGGATTCTAGAGGTAACGCATGTAAAGTAGTATGTAACATTCGCCCGGAAGTACATATCGATGGAAAATAGAGCTAAGCTATAAAACGACTGGCCAGCGTCTAAACAAAGCTCTACATGCTTTTCACCGTCTCTACCAAAGCAAGTTCTAAAGATGGTCTTTCTAACATCTGTAACAGTCGCCCGGAAGATACATATCGACGGAAAATAAAACTAAGTCCTAAGACGACTGACCAACGTCTAAACAGCTTTACATGCTTTT